GATTCCCCACTCCTCCACTTGCACCTGCTGATGTGACCTTGGGTCAGTCACAAGCTCTGGCACAGCTGTTCCTGAAAGAGCCGTTTGTGTCAGAGTTCTCTCAGCCCCACCCCCCTCACAGGGTGTCTGTTGTGGGGAGGGGAAGGGAGAGGAGTTTGTAAGCCGCTCTGAGACTCCAAGTGAAGGGCGGGGTATAAATCCAATCTCTTCTTCTTCTTCTCTTCAAGAATCAAAGCTCCTTTCATCAGCTATATAAAAGCTCACACCCCGGAAATTCTGCTTGTCCCAAAGTTCCCCAAACAGATAAGAAGGGGAACAACATTCGAATCCAGTAGCACATTAATGTTGTTCCTCTTCTTCTACTCTTCTTTCTATCTGTTTGGGGGACTTTGTCTGGGGAGTGAAATGCAATTCTTTAACTCGATAACTCAGTAAGACATTTTGTGCCCCAAGCAGATACCCACATAAAGAGCTTTTTTCTGGATTAGACCTCATGCTTGCATCCTGCAGTCGGGGTTGCCAGTGCAAGCCCAGTTATTAGAATGGGACTCTGGCTGTGGTCACACGCACCAGTTGGAGCGGAGGGGAAGCGAGGCCATCTCCTCCGGAGGAATTTGACACGCAGTGGCAAGATTATACATGCTTTTGTAGCTGCGGGCGCAGTCCGTCACTGTGTGATCAGACACAACTGCAGGTGAGTCGGGGTGGGTGGGAGTTGGCTGTTGTTTCCCATGCACATAAACAAGGAATCACACCTCCGCACTGAGGGGGCCCCCATGGAGTATGCAATGATGTGCATACTGCGAAGAGGGGAAGGCACAGAGCCGGGATGGCCTGACCAGACACTCCTGACGGCATGAGAGAGTGCTTTCGTGATCAGAAAGGGGAAAGTCCGTCCATGGCCTGCCGGAACCCGTTTACTACCAGACTTTCCCCGGTGTCTTTTAACTCCGCTTCTGTAGCAGAGCAGCACAGGTTGCTGACGACTGCAGAACGTTTCCCAGATGTTGCTGTCTGATCACGCCCTTTAGATCCATCAGGCATTCGCACCTATGTCGGATCTTCACGCCCTTTAGATCCATCAGGCATTTGCACCTATGTCGGATCTAAAGGCACGTGTGATCGCAGCCTGTGTGTGTTTGTGTGTATCCCCATCTGTCAAGACCTCCTTTCTGCACAGGTGATAGGGCTGCACTGTACAAAAATGGTTCACAAGCTTACTTGGATAAATGATTAGGGACTATGGTATTGTAAGTAGGACATCATGATGTAATTTCTGTACCTCTTAATATGTCATGTTAAAATCCTAATGTATCGTTTGTTGAATGTCCCACTGTAGCTTGTACTGACTTGCTATGTGTAATCTGCCTTGAGTCTCTGTGAGAAAAGAGGACTATAAAATAACGTACACTTTTGAAAAATGGGTTTGACGTGGAGTTGTTATCTAGAGTGTTGGCCCAGAAGAACCAGGTTCCAATCTCCACTCTGCCAGGAGAGATAGTTGGATGACCCTGGGCCAATCATACCATCTTAGCCTAACCTACCTCACAGGGCTGTTGTGATGATCAAATGGAGGAGAATAAAATGATGTAATCGGCTTTGAGCCCCCACTGGGGAGAAAGGAGGGATGTAAATAAAGTAAAACTTTAAAAATTCTGTTTGAGAGGCAAGGGCCTTAAACCAGCCTCCCCAGTTTCCCTTTTCTCCCTTCAATGGGGATTGATGCTTGCAAAACGAACAATGTGTGTTTGGCAGGTGTGCAGCTTATAAAAGTATTTTTCCTGTGATTCTTGCAGCACACGCTGCATTATAATCCAAGCGGAACCTCCTGTTTGCTCTGGCTCAGGATTAAATTCCAAGCCAGTCAGGATGATTAGGGCAAAGTGCCCCAAGCATTTCCTTTTGGCTGTTTAGTAAACCAAGAAAGTAAGCCTTCCTAGTTTTCTCAAGGTTTCTCACATCACCATTAGAAGCAAAAATGGAAAAAGAAAACGAGGAAGTGATGAAAACAACATCTTTTCCTATCAGTCTTAAAGGCGGAGAGCTTTCAACATCCTCTAATATAAGGAAATATAACCACCCAGAAGCAATATTAGGCTGAAGGGATATACATATAATAAACGTACTTCATTTTAGCCGTGAATACACTTGATGCATTTTGGGCAATTTCCACTCCTGTTAATATGTTGCAACCAAGCCTGTAGGTACAGCTGGACTCTAGATGCATTTGTTGTATTACAGCACTTTGGACAGGTGCACAAACTTTCCCTTCCCCCAAATCAGGCCCAGAGGCCGGGGCAAACCTGTTTTTCTGGGTTGCAGCCAAAGAGACTGTGCACAGAATTAATCAGATAAATATATGCAAGATGCCTAACCAAATTTTAACAGCACATGGAGAGAGGTGGTTAAAACAGCCAGCATTCAATCTGGAGGCCGTATGTGTGTTTGTGGACAGCAGAGGGGAGAAGAGGCTGCGTTCACCCCATAACAAAAACACCCACAACGCTTTCTGTTTGCAGGCTTAATCCCAGAGAGACCTTTTCTTTTTCTACAGGAAAGCATTAAAATATATTTGGGGGGGAGCATGGCTGTTTGCCCCGGGGCAAAATAATGCGGGGTTGCGCCAGCAGACCTACCGTGGAGGTCCCGTGGAGGTCTCATGGTAGGGGGGAGGTGCCGAGCACACCACAATCCTGCGCCGCGGCAAAGAAGCGGTGCAGCAAACGGGTGTTTATTTTTCGGACACCAAAGTGTGCGCATGCCCCGTTGGGTGTTTGTGCGCATCCCATGGACAGTTGAAAAAAAAACACCTTTATACGAGGGGGCATGGGCGGGCACTGGAACTACCACCGGAAACACGATCAGACGCCCGCCCTTGCCCCGCGGTTACCGGAAACTAGTACCTCCGAGGCACTAGTTTTTAACTGTGCATCTTCGGCGGGAAGCCTCGGGTTCGCCACGGGAGCTCTACGCTTCCCAGATGTGGCGGGGAGATCGCGCCCGGAAAATCCGCCTATCTTCTGTCCCTCTAGCGTGCCTAATGCTCCGTGTGACCGCAGCCATAATAGCCCTGACCTGGATAGCCCAGGCAAGCCTGACCTCGTCAGATCTTGGAAGCTAAGCGTGGACAACCCTGGCAAGTATTTGGATGGGAGACTTCCAAAGAACACCAGGGTTGGGAGGCAGAGGCAGGCTATCAAGCCTGTTCTCTGAATGTCCTACATGCCCCTGCTTAGTCAGCCCTGCTTAGCTTCTGAGATCTGATGAGATCGGGCTTGCCGGGGCTCTCCAGGTCAGAGCTGCTCTAATTTATTCTTGAGCAACCTTAGTAGCAATGTTCCCTCTAAGCTGTGGAGTGTTGTGAGCAAAAATCCTACTTTGTGAGCTACTGGCATTAAAGCTGTGAGCAAGCAATTTGGTTGCTGCATAAATTAGTTTGCTCTGGAGCCCTCCTTCCTGAGCAAAGACAAAAATGTGTGAGCTGGAGGCTAAAAACATGTGAGCTAGCTCACACTAACTCAGCTTAGAGGGAACACTGCTTAGTAGCCCAGGCTAGCCTGATCTCATCAGAGCTTGGTAGCCAAGTGGGGTCGGCCATGGTTAGTACTTGGATGGGAGACCAGCAAGGAAGTCCACGGTCGCTATGCAGAGGCGGGCGATGGCAAACCACCTCTGCTCATCTCTTGCTCTGAAAACCCCAAGGTCCTGCAGTTGCCAAGAGTCAGTCGTGGCTCAACCACAGGCTATTATATTTCAATTTATTGTCAAGGCTATTCCCACTTTGCTTTGTCTGTCCTTTTCTGTGTCTCGTGTAATGATCTTGAGGTTTTCTCTGAAACTGTGGGTCCTTCTGTCTATATACGTGGCCTCTTTTCACTGTGATTCAGCCTCTGACTGACATGACAAATGGATGGCATTATTCATTAACACTTCTAGATGCCGGTGGATATCCCCCCCCCCCGTTTAATGGATCTGACCTAGCAGCCATGAGGACTGGAAGATATGACCCTCCCAGCTCAGTGGGAAAAGGTGTGTTGGGGAGCTGTGTGAGAACGACTTTTCTTTTGGTTTGCAATATAATACTGTGGTGCACAGGGCATACTGGGCTGTTTAACTGATCCAGAGCAAGATGAGCCAAATGATTCTGCTTGAATCCGGACAATGGTGCCAAAGATGACAGGTACATGCTTGGCCTCCATCTCCTCCCTTTGACTGCCACCCGGAACCCTCACATACCCAATGGACAGTGTGCACTGTAGGACTAGACTCCAGGTGAGGGCCAGCAGGTGTCTAAAGCTGCCCAGGTGCCCAGTGGCTAGGATGGATTGTGCTGTCTCCCACTGCAGTTTCAGCTGTTGCTTTATGGAAATTATGCAGCAATCACAAATCTGTGACAAAGACTACTTGTAGTTTTAGCCAGTTTGCCCCAAGGAGCCAAAGGAACTCTGGAATGGGCAAGACTTCACATTAAACTTGACATCAATTGTTAGTTTTTGCCTGAATCTTGTAGACAGCATTATTTTGGGAGCTTTTTGATTAATAGTTTAACCACAGATGCATCTATGATTGTGCTGTGCTCACAATGCAATACACCATCTTGCATTCTCCCTGCAGTTCTCCCGCTTGCATCCTTTGTAGTTACATGCAATGTACACATATAGAATCACAGAATCATAGAGTTGGAAGGGACCTCCAGAGTCATCTAGTCCAACCCCCTGTACAATGCAGGAAATTCAGAAATAGCTCCCACACACACACACCCTCAGTGTTCCATGCCCAGAAGACGACCAAAAAAAATCTCCAAACTGGCCTGGAGAAAAAATACTCCACAATGAAATGTAAATGCATGGTGGGTAAAAGGGACAAATTAATGTGCACCATTCTGTTGTGAATGTCAACAGCAAAGTGGACATTAAAGTTTGTGAACGGAACCATTCCTAAAAATATATTAAAAATAGAACTGGTTTTATATGCCACTCCAAGGTGTTTTCTTCACATACCTGGTTTGTCTTTCCCAGCTGGAGTAAGCCAGTCACAGAGGGCAGAATAAGTGAGGAAATAGGTTGCAAACGAATGGCAGTCTCTACACAGCAGCGCCAAAGATCCCTTGTACAGGCCCCCAAGTCCCTCTTCCTTTATTATCATCCGCAAGCAGTGCACAGCACCATGATACTTAGGCTTGGAGGTGAGGAGGTGAGTTGATGCCATCAAGTGATGTGGCTCCTTCTGGATCTGCAGTCTCACTTTGGCTATCTCTGCAGGTGCCAGAAGCACAACCTTATTGGGAAGTAGAGGAGTTAAAGTTAACAGCCTTCAAGCTATATTTTGGGCATTCTGGAGAACTAGAAAGTAGGTCCAGGATAAGCAAACAAAGGCTGTGAACAGATGGCAGGCTTTGGCACGGTCTGGCCTCGCATCTAATTTTTCTGGAGTTCTGGAGAGGTGCGACCAGACATGCCACCCTATTCCTGCCTCACCCTGTAGTCAACCATTCAGACTGCCATTGTGCAGTCACCAGGGAGAGGGCAGGCAGGCAGCTTCTTTTTTTTAAAAAAACTCCAATGTGTGCATGCACATAACTGCTTATTTGCTGGTAGTGGATATGCAATTATGTACACATCGCTAACTGCAAAAAAAAATGGTGGCCAGGGACCAAAAGCGTCAGACCTCACTAAGCAGCTTGAGCACACAAGGGAGAGATCAGAAGCCCGGAAATCTGCAGTGAGACAAGTTCAATCATAAAGTCAGGGGTGAGGACAGGGGGCTGACAACTGAGGGATGGGAGGCAGATGTTGCCATCTGATCATTCACTTCAAATCTGGTAGGGAACCACCATGACATCAGAGCAACTTGCCCATCTGATCGCAGCCAGAGACTGTTTGGTGAACCTGACAACCAATGAAGATGGTTTCCACTCATGCATCCCAATTCAGATCTTAGAGATCCCGAACGAGTGCGCTATCCTCAGCTCTGTCTTTTTGCTGACCCCAGATGTCATGCCTGGCACACTGTACATTCATTTCTGCCCAGTGTATGGATTTACCGTACTACAGTGCTTGTATGCATGACATATTGTATTATCATTCATTTCTGCCCAGTGTATGGATTTACTACAGTGCTTGTGTGCATAACATATTGTATTAAAAGTAGTAGGGTTCCAGGATTATCAGAAGAAAGATGTTCGCTATGAAATACGTCATTCCACCTTTGGGTCACTATTCATAAGAGGAAAGGACTAGAATAGTTCATTCCAAGTACTCATGTAATAAGAGATTTAAAAGAAAAGATTCAGCCCTGACATACCCATATATAGCCATTGAAAGAGCATGGAAAAAGGAGGAAGATGTTTTATTAGGGTTGTATTTTGAAACGCAGATCAGCGCATCTGCTAAGGACTGTGATTACTCTTTGGGAAGGCATTTGGCATGAACTAATGTGATGTTTTTAAAAGCATTTTATGACAGTTATATAATTGTTGGTATCAGTCCTGTCTACGTGCCAGAAAAAGGCAGACAGAAACATTTTTAAAATATTAAAATAAATGTTAATGAATAGTTTTGAAAGTACTTCTGTTACTCAAATGAAGTACATGCAGGGCTTTTAAAAAAAAAATTGGTGCCAGAACTCTCAAGAGGGAAATGAAGTTTTCAATCTGTGAAAACTCATAAACTTTTAAACATTTTTAAAAGCATTTTTTTGAAGAGGTTCCGGAACTCTGTTCCAGTGCGTTCCCCCAGGAAAAAAGCCCTGAGTATATGCATATGCTTTCCTCCTTCCAGTTATTTGACAATACATTGTTTCACTCAGGGATCATTTCGTAGAAAAAGAGGTGCAAAAGCTCATTAGCATATGCCACACCCCCTGACTCACTGGAAGTGTGTCAAAAGGCAACACCCACCACTCAGGCTCCACTGGACTGTTTTGGACTGCTAGCTATTGGGGGGCGGAAACATGCAGATCTGTCCTCACAGAGGAGGGAGAGCTTGTACCTGAATAAAACTTGGTCTTAAAGGTGCTACTGGACTGTTTTGGACTGGGGGGCCAGGGGGAGCTCTGCAGCTTACCTGGCTGCTTCTTGCTCTGACTGAGGGCTGCTGGAAGCAGGGGGTGGGGCTTGTTGCATGTGCCTGCCCCCTAGGCTCTTTACTGCCAGAGCTCCGCTCATGTGCGCTCCTGCAGGAAATGACCCCTGGTTTCACTCTGAACCTACCCGGACTGCACCAGTAGCACATCCAGCGAAAGATATATCCACTTTTGACGGCTTTCTATCTGTAGAGCCATATCTTAACCGGCAGATGTTATAGAGGAAGTTTTTGTAGACACCAAACGAAAATGAGGAAATAAATGATGCCATGACGATCGTCATTGAGACACCTCTGAAGAAACCAGGCACCTTAGTTGAGACAGAAAGCAAGAAGAACAATGTCTTTTATAACCAGGGTGAGAAGGATGACTCACATGCATGCCTAACCTGCTCAAAAACTGCAGAAAATGTGGTTTTATAAAGAGTGATTTTGCTTGGGCTTTTACTAATAAATCAACAAACTGGTAACTCCTCTGTGCATGGGACTGAGATGGGTGGGTGGGTGGATATTTATTTATTTATTGAAAACATTTCTATCCCACCGTATCTCCCTTAATTCAAGGTAGTGATAAAGAGAGAGAGAGATCTATACACTAGCCGAGGAGTCCCCAACATGGTCCCGCGGGGACCTTGAAGCCCAGTGACACATTTCCTGGGGCCCACCAAGTGCTTTCAGAAAGTGGGCAGGGGCAGGTGGGGCTCTTGCCCACCAAGGCTTCTGATTAGCCATTGGATAGGGTTGCCATGTCTCCCCTGGCGTACAGGGGATCCCCCGTTTTCCAGTGCTCTCCCCCAGTGCCGGCCACTTCACTGGTGGGGGAGAATTACCCCTCCCCAAAAAAAACAGGTAAGAAGCACAAAATAAACTTGATGTGCCTACGTCACTCAGACTTGACATAGGCACATTGGGGGGGCGATGCTCTGGTTTTGGGGCAAAACTCAATGATAGAATTAGCTTCAAACTGTTGAGTTGTGCCCCAAACTAGATGTCATCAACGTGCCTACATCACTTCCGGGTGACGTAGGCACGTCGTGTTTATTTCCGGCTCCTGGGTGACGTAGGCAAGTTGTGTTGTTCCTGCTCCCAGTAAGTTCCCCCTCCCCCCATCCCCTGCCTTTGAGTCCTGGGGACCTGTCAACCCCAGCCATTGGAGATTGGCTGCACAGATATATTTTAAAAAATTTACTTCGGTAGCAGCTGCCACCAACAGCATAAGGATTTTCACTGTGTGATTGAAGGTAAGCTATGGCAGCCATTTTGTGACTGACTCCACCTCTGGCAGCAGCCATTTTGTGGCTGCGCCTACCACACTGTGTCAAAATGCCAAAGGTGCGCACAGGCTCACAAAGGTTGGGGACCCATGCACTAGCCTTTAGTCAACCGGGATTTTGCAACACATACCTTTTCTGTTCTGTAAGTTTCTACGATACAGTGCCGTATTCCATGATAGTTTTTCTCCGTTTGTATTCTCACCTGTGAGAGCAAAGATTAAAGTTAATATCATATGAAAGACAGCAGTCTGATTTCAGTTAGATCAAGTAGGGCATGGCTCTTTCCACAAGATCAGCTTGTCCCAAAGCATCCTCCAGGGTCTGAAATAACTCCATCTGCTTCATGCATTGAGACTCCTAATCTCCGCTTGACTAACTGACCCTGTGTGGACTACATAACAATACTGAAAATGTTGCCTTGGGGGTTCTGAATTTTATCCTTCTGCCTAGCAACCTAATTTTTTTCTTCCAAAACCAGAGTTTAATTTTACTGATACCCATATGCATCATGTCCTCCCCCCTGAAGCCAACCTGCCTATCTTGATAATGTTTGATGTCCTCAGTCTTCACCAGGGCTGTAGCTAGGTGGGGGTGGTGGGGTTCCTGCCGGAGCACAGATTTTGTGTGCCATTAAAGGCCAGTAAGCTGCAGAGCTGTATCAAGGGTGCACAAAGCTGAGGGCACAGAAAGTGTATCATCACTAAAATAAACCTTTTATTGTTATTAATCTTGTTATTTATGTATTTAGCTTTTTACTAAAATGTGTACTATGAAAGTGTAGGAGGCACAATTTCATATTCTTGCTTTGTGCACAAAATTAGCTAGTTATAGCTCTGGTCAGGGGTCATTTCGTAGAAAAAGAGCTAGGGGGACTCATTAGCATAACTCATGTATCATCACTAAAATAAACCTTATATTGTTATTAATCTTGTTATTTATGTATTTAGCTTTTTACTAAAATGTGTACTATGAAAGTGTAGGGGGCACAATTTCATATTCTTGCTTTGTGCCCAAAATTAGCTAGTTATAGCTCTGGTAAGCCACAAGTTATTTAATTTGTTACTGAGAAGAAGCATATTTTGGAGTTTCCTCAGGTGTCATTTGGGGGGGTGGGGCTTGTCACCTCCTGTTCGCTATAATCTGAGAGTCCTGGAAAACAATGAGGAAAAAATAGGGAGAGCATACGGCGGTAGGAAAGTCTGGGAATCCTGTTTACCTCACAGTCATGGAGATTTCTGGCAGAGTTATTGTATTCATGGCCAGACCTCTTCTCCTCCATAACCTCCCATTCTATCGTTTATCCTTGTGAGGAGGGAAAGAGGTGTCTCCCCAGTTTAACTCATTCCAAATGTTTGTTTAAGCAGTATTTAGAAAAATACAGTTTTAAATACCTTTACAGTGTCCAGTGGATACCCTACGGCAGCACTAACTCCACCTGAAACAGATGTTTAAAAAAGTATAATTATCTCATTCCAAAATCTCACAAAGGCCAGAACAAATTCTTTTAAGCAGAAAACTTTAGCTCATCGATAATCCCACATGAGCTAGCGTCAGACTAGGATCTGGGAGACCCTGGTGCAGATCTCCACTCTGCCCTGGAAACTTGCTGGGTGACCTTGGGCCGGTCACACACTCTCAGCCTAACCTACCTCAAAGGGTTGTTGTTGTGAGGATAAAATCAAGGAGGGGAGAATGCTGTAAGCAGCTTTGTGTTCCCATGGGGGGAAGTGGGGTATAAATAAAGTAAGCAAATCTTCCCATTTCTTTCCCCATTGATTCTAAACTAGAATTCAAGGGTAAGGAATATCACACATTCCAGTCTGCACAGTTGTTTTTCTATAACACCATCCAAATCTGAGGATCACAAGGTCTGGACTGGTATAATGCAGGGTGTTTTGTGTGGGTATATTTATTCAACACATAAATGGATGCAGCCAAGTTCTGAACACTGTGTTCTATTAAATTTACTGTCTAGCACCCTCACAGCATTAAAATTGGATGGGGGGTGGCAGACTGAGCAACATGAATGAGAATGGCTTCCAATTATTTGTACTCTGTTGAAGAATCCATCAGAGCTTGGAGATGTCTGCTCCTCAGCTGAATGGAGGGGGCAGCAAAGAGTCAAGAAGAACGGTTTTTAAGATGCAAAGGCAGAGGCCGTGGTCACACATACTAAATAATCCACTTTCAACTCACTTTTAATGGACTTTCGTATTGGATTTTGCCAGTTCACACAATCCAGTTGGAAAGTCCATTGAAAGTGGAATATTTAGTGTGTGTGTGACCGCAGCCAGAGAGAGACAGAAGGCTGTGTGAACACCTTGGGGTACAGGATCTCTCCCTCTCTCTTCCACACTGTCACTTTTGTCACTCATTTTTCCCTCTGCTTTGGGTTCCTCTCCCCTTTTCCACATGCTCCCTCTGGAACTACTAGAGAGAACAAAA